TTGTTCTGGGGTGTTCTGAAGAGAACTGAAGAACCTATTTCTTCCTTCAGGGTCCCCAGCATGTTATACATGGTGGCTATCTTTCCTGATGCAGCTCCTGTCTGGGTTCTGGAAGGAAGGTTCTTTCCTGTTTCAAGGCCACATCAAGCTATCTCTGGTGGGATGGATGCTGTATCTCTCATAATTGCTTTCCTACTCAAGGGCTGCTCAGGGACTCACTTTGGTCTCAAAACTCTCCTAATAAAGCTCATTCTGGTGTGTGTAATTTTTTTCCCCAGCTCCTTTTCTGAGCTTTTTGCTCTGACCTGGATTTCACTTGTAACTTGTCACTTGTCTTATTGTTTTAGCTAAGACTATGAGCACTATGTTGAGAGAGAGAGAGAGAGAGAGAGAGAGAGAGAGAGAGAGAGAGAATGAGAATGCTATGCAGCCTAAGCTGGCTTTAAAACTTGAGATTCTTCTGCTTAAGTCTCCCAAGTACTGAGATTATAGGTGTGTGCCACCATGACCAGCTCAACAGTCAAGGTATTATATTTGAAGTTATTATTTATTGATCATTTAATTTTTTATGGAATCACAAACTTTTGGAGTCAGTAGGATGAGGATGGTGATTATTATTATTATTATTATTATTATTATTATTATTATTATTATTGGTTTTTCGAGAGAGGGTGTCACTGTGTAACAGCTCTAGCTGTCCTGGAACTCGCTTTATAGACCAGGCTGGCTTTGAACTCACAGATATCTGCCTCCCTCAGCCTCTTGAGTGCTAGAATTAAAGACATGTGCCACCATGCCCTGTTAAGCTACAAATTTTACAATCATTTTGTAATACAATTCCATGCTATGCTAGTAACGGACTCTGATGGTAGGGGAGGCAGTACAGACAAAAACATTTCTGTTAGTAAATGTGATTGCCTTTTAAAAGCTTTGTTCATATATTCTCCATCTAATGCCAACCAGTAATATGAACAAACACCAACCTTAAAAAGCCTGAATCTTAGGCTGCAGAGATAACTGGGAGATTAAGAGCTCATGTTCTTGCTACACCTGCTGCTCTTACAGATGACCTGGATTTGGTTCTCAGAACCAACATGGTAAAGTAAACCACGTTCCAGGGGATATAACGCCCTCTTCTAGCTTCTTTGGATACTAGGAACACATGTGGTACATAGACATACATGCAGGCAAATATTCATACACATAAAATAAAAATAAATCATAAAAAAAAATTAAAAGAGCCTGGGGACTAGAGGGATATTTCAGTGGTTTAAAGCTCTTGTTACTCTTGCAAAAGGCCCAGGTTAAACTTCCTACATGGTGGCTCACAATGACCTGTAACTACAGTTCTAGGGGATTGGACACACTCTTCTGACCTCTGCAGGCACTAGGCACATATATACATGTAATGTGAGCCTCAATGGTCTATATAGATCAATTTATTAAGGGGTTTCTATGGGGAAAAACAGACTCACTTGTGGGATGACTCATCACTAACAGGCTTGAGGGCCAGCCAGCCCAAACAAGTAAAAAAGATACCTTCTGAGAGCCAACATGGGTCTGCCTAAGGACCTTAGCAACAGCAGCTGAAACATGATCTGAAGATGGCTTGGATCAATGAGAGGCAGCCATGTCACACCAGCAGATGCATATTCAACAGCCCTCTCCCTAGGGTGGGGTGGAGGGTATATAAGGCTTGCCTCTTCCTCAATAAACTGAGCTTGTTGTTTCTACATTCTCCCAGAGTCTGTGTCGTTGACTCTACGCCTACTTGTTCCCCTCCCCCAAAGGGAACAACAGCACAGGACCCTGCTACACTCACTGATACAGGGTAAGGTAAATCTAGTTGCAGAATCCTTGGAAAGCTGAGGACTGATCACACACTGCTTCATGAGGCCTGATCCTGTCTTTACCACCCAAGAGAGCATTACCCCTTTTCTAAACCTCTCTTTTAAGTGGTCACTAGGTAGATAAGTGCCACCTCTATCAGGGCAGATAGTCCAAAGTCAATGTTGGAGCGAATTCCCATTACATATACATAAATAAAGGGAAAATATTCATACACATAACATTTAAAAAGAGCCTAGATATAGTAAAGGTACTTCCTATGTTTTACTTTTTATTAACACCCATTATCTATGTAGAGGAAGGTGATAAAAATAGCCATTCTGGTTCAAGCCTAGAAGCCTCTTGTCTTTTCTTATCTTTCCCACACAGGCAGACCATCATGCTGGGGAAATGTGGGGTAGAGAAGACCCTTTCTGCCTCTTAGAGAAACTCTGAACTTCTGTCCTGCTTCCGTCTCTCACCTCAAGTACAGTGGGATCTCCAAAATTAATGAGCTTTCCTTAGGCTTTTTCTGGCCTTAAGATGTCCTCTCCCCTGCTTCCTAGGTTCTAGTATTTTATTGCCACCTTTCTTTCTCCCGAGTCTTTGCCTAGGCATTATGTCTTGGAGACAGGGTCTCACTGTGAGCCCTAGCTGGCCTGGAACTCGGAAAAATCTACCTGCTTCTTCCATCCTTAAATTTTGGCTGATGGTTAAGAAAAAAGAAAAGGATTCCTGGGAGAAAGGAAGTCAGATAGGAGGACAGCTTTGGTCACTGAGGTTATAGGATAGGATAAATTTACTCTGTGCATAGCAGTTCTAGTGCTCAAAGATCTTTTTATCTAAGCAATCATGTCAGATCTGCCTTTTGGAGGCAGAGATGTAGAAGTATGCCTGTTTTTAAGTCAAACACGGCTCACACACGATGTTTTAGTGTCCTGGAGCCAGGATGGAATCAGTGGCTGAGCTGGCCTGCTCCTCCTTCCCTGTGACCCAGTAGACCTTCCTTGCTGAGCTGCAAGTAGAATGCAGGAGACAAAAGGGGACTGCCAAAGCAGGAGCTCCAGGGTGACCTTGAGCTTCATTCAAGGCCTCTCTCTACTGCTTTCTGTACATTTTTATTATTTTTCAGAAGTTTTACATTAACAGAAAAATTACCAAGAGTGTACACAGCTTGGGCATAAAACCTTACTGGTAGCACCTTACATTAGTATAGATGGCTGTACTAATGAACCAGCATTGAGGCATCAACAATATAACAAGTCCCCACCTTATTCAGAGCTCCTTTATCTTACTTCTAGGATCCCATACCACATTTGAGATTAGTGAGTAAAGGTCCCAGTTTACTATATTCTTACTTCCCTACACTCTCCCTGTTACTATCACTAGTTTAAGTAGCATACATCGTTATTTTACTAAGTAGCTTCCATGTTTTGTTGAAAGAATTTTAAGAACAGTTTATTTGGGCCCTGGCGTAGCCCCTGCCTTACAGTCTGGCCACAGACCACAGAGACAGCTCCATAAACACTCATCACTGTTGACTTCACTGTGGCCTGGCAGGGTGATAGGAGCAGCTTATTATGGCCTCCCAACTTGAAGGAGATAATGGAAGAGTAGTGATTGCTGTGTCTTTATCCATTTCTCTATAAAATATTTTATAACCATTCATATTTCAACATGGAATAGCTCTTGAATTAGAGGAAATGAGGGGAACCAAAAAAAAAAATCCTTGGCTGTTCTAAAATGACTTTGTTTTCCTAAAGCATCCTAAGTAATATACTTTAGATCACCCTATCCATGGCCTACCCAACATAAGAAGTCTGGGCAGATGTATTAATTTAAAATGGTGTAGCAGAATATATGTGTGTGTGTGTGTGTGTGTGTGTGTGTGTGTGTGTGTGTGGTCACAGAAGGCTTTGCCAGCCTTTTCTTTTCTGACACAGATCTTGCCCGCCTGTTCATGGGACCCAGCTTACCTCTGTATCAACAGTGCCTTGTAGTGCAGCCCCTGCCCCTTAGGAAGCAGACTTACCTGCCTCTGAAACTGAAAGTTAGGCAAGGGAGTCAACAAAGTGTGCTGAGTGACTGGTAGGTGGGGTGCTACATTCTCATTGGTCAGGTATCACCAGCTTTAGCCCTACCATGAGCTAGAGGAAGCCATTTAAATTCCTTTTCTGCTTAAGCTAATGCAAACTGATTTTACTACCATCTATGTTGCCATGAAGAGTTTTATTAAAAAACACAAATAAGCTGGGTGGTGGTGGCATATGCCTTTAATCCCAGCACTCAGGAGGCAGAGGCAGGTGGACCTCTGAATTTGAGGACAGCAAATTTCAGGACAGGCTCCAATGCTACATAGAGAAACCCTGTTTCAAAAACAACAACGACTCCGGGCATGGTGGCGCACGCCTTTAATCCCAGCACTCGGGAGGCAGAGGCAGGCGGATCTCTGTGAGTTCGAGGTCAGCCTGGGCTACAGAGCGAGATCCAGGAAAGGCACAAAGCTACACAGAGAAACCCTGTCTCAAAAAAAAAAAACAAAAAACAAACAAACAAAAAAAACAACAACCCAAAAAACCCCCCCAAAAAAACCAAAACAAAAAACAAAAACAAACAACAACAACAAAACAACAAAAACTAACACACACACATGTGAACCGATCACAATACATCAGGGGACACAAATTAAACCACAAAGGTACAACACAGTTAAGTGGCTAAAATCAATTAACAAAACTAGTGCTGAAACACGTGAACAATTGGAACCCTCATTCACTGTTTGAGTAAACTGGCAGTTACTTTGGGAAACTGACAACATATACTCAAGCCAAACTACCTGTCCTTACACACTCACAGCACTATTTATTACAGCTAGAACTGGGCAGGACCTAGGAACAGGATGGTAGATGTTTTGTGAATTCCCTACGAGGATGAGATAAATGATCTGTGATTACACACAGTGCTCCTACAGCTCTTCTACCCATGAAGGTGTATATCAGGTTGGTCTCTCCACCAGAAGCCAGCAGAAACAAGGACTGGGAGGAGGGAAGTGTTTCTGGGGACTGCTCTTTCTGTCTCCTGATTTGGGTGGTGGCTATACAAACCCTTTTTGTGAAAAATTAATAAACTGCCTATTTATAATATATGCCCTTTTCTTTGCTTTATTTTGCCAGAGGTAAAAAGACAAAAGGCAGCATATGTGACTTCATGAGACATCAAACTAGATGGAAAAAGCAGACAATGAGTAAAGAAACATAACTACAGGATTGTGATGTGTGCCAAGCACTTCCCAGTCTTTGCAACTGCCCTTCTTTGTCAACTTTTCAAGGTGCTATGGGTCTAGGATACTGTGCTGGAGGAGCAGTCTCCATGTCTCATCTGCGTCATGATCAACAGGGTGGGCATGTTGCTCACTAAGTTTTATGGCTTATACACAATGAGCTTTGACTCTGCTCTGAGGGATGTTTCTTGTGCTTTTCCATTCTCTTGGCATTTCAATATATCAAGCAAAACTACCTGAACATATGGAGCCTTTAATGTTGCTCTACCTGCTGTCGGCTCATCTGCACATAACAAAGTGCTCTATAGTTCTTATCTTGAGCTACGGTTCATCTGCTTTGGCTCAACTGGAGTTAGCTGCATTGCATTTTAAATAATGGACAAGAAGTACAGCTTAGACGTCTTTGTTACATGAAGATTTTAGTTGTAGACATTTGTTTTTAAATATTTTTGAACCTCTGTTTGTCTTTAAAAACCTTCCTCTATTAATAATTCAGCTTGGGTCAATTAAAAGTAAATAATGTATTTAAACAATATTTCATTTGGAATGTAGGGTTAAAAAAACTTGCAGTGACATAGTAATTTCCAGAAGCCGAAGCTGACCAAAGAAATAGAATAGGGCTGTACAGCTCTTAGCTCTATTTGGAAACAGCCAGATGCTGTATTTGAGGTCTGGGAAGGATAAGGCCCTGGAGGCCTGGAGGCTTGCATAACAACCGCTGCTTATGCAGCCCTGGCCAGCAGCAGGAATGGAAACAGGGAGTGTGGGCCAAGACAGTCAAGCTGCAAGTTTTCTTCCCCCACTTAAAGAAAGAACAGCCAAAAGAAAGATTTCAATTTTTAAAAAGTTATACTTCAGTTGCAAATAGGAAACCTATGTTTTAAACATCAAGCATCTTTAATACAAATCTTGTTTACATATTTGTAACAGGAAGAAGACATTCCTTATTTACAAGGACTGAATACTAAGTAGACATGTTTTACTGCTCTTTACCAAACAAGCAAACACACTAAAGAGAAACTAAAGTTGGAGCCTGAGAACAAAACAAAAAGCCTTTAGAACAAGCAGTTACAGTTTGTTAGTTTAGCAGAATTAGAGCCACTGGGAAACTGTGCAGAGGATGGTCTCACTCAATGCCTCTTCAGAATGTCCAGTCACTACTGAAAATTCTCTCAGGGGCATTTGCAAATAGACTTGGGTCTTTTTTGTCCCACAGAATGAGATAATGATGTTCTCATAAAGAGCTTATATTAACATATAGACATATCATTTACTTAATTACAGCTCACAGCAAGGAAGGGCTCAAGTGCACCATGGTCTCCTGAGGAGCCAGCCTGCACATACTTAGAGAAAGAATCTGCCCACTTGTTAGGAATGTGGAGGGGGAAGTAGGAATGATACAATGTGGTTTGTGTTTATCAGATAAATATATTATTTAAAAACATATTAATATACCACAATTAAAAGCTAGTATAGCCACCCAGACATGGCATGCCTGTGTAATCCTAGCAGTTGGGAGGCTGAGACAGGAGGATGATTGCAAGACTGGTTTACACTGGTAAATTCAAAGAGCAGCCAGAGCTGTGTAGATGTAACTGTCTTGTTAAATAAGAAACACAGAGCCAATGCAGAGATGAAAGCCCAAGAGGTCAGAGCTAAGAGCTAAAAACCTTACACTTCACTGCTGCTGCTGTCCTCTTCAGCCAAGAGAGCTACTTCCTGTCTGTCCTTTTTACAGACTTTCTATTCTGCCTTCTCATTGGTTGTAAACCCAACCTCCTCGTTACTGTCTGTCTGTCTGTACAGACCTCCAGGTCTTCTATGGTTGGTATTGAGATTAAAGGCGTGTGTCTCCATGCTGGCTGTATCCTTGAACACACAGAGATCTGCCTAGCTCTGCCTCCCAAATGCTGGGATTAAAGGCGTGTACCACCACTGCCCAGCTTCTGCTATGGTTTGCTATTAGCTCTGACCCCCAGGCAACTTTATTTATTAATATACAAATAAAATCACATTTCAGTATAAATAAAATATCACCATAGAGCTGTATAGTGAGACTCTCAGAAAGCACAAAATAAGACAGAATACAAACTTGAAAAGCTTCAGAATGTGTAGTTCTTTTTTCCCCCCTTTTCTTGAGACAGGGTCTCATTGTGTAGCCATGGCTGGCCTCTATCTCAGAGACCCACTGGCTTCTGCCTCCTTTAGTGCATCATGCCTGGTTACATGTGGTTGTTTTCCATTTGCATTACAAGACGATTTCATAAAAGAAAGCAGCTAAGATAGGCTTTCAATCTGAGCTATCATAAATAGCTGGAAATAAAAAATAGATCTATATGATACTTCATATGAAACCTTTACAAGTATAAGTAATTGTTTATTAGGATACCTTATAAAAAGGCAGACAATAACAAAGAGGTGAGAATATGGAAAAGATGTTTTATTTTGTAAAATCAATTAGATATTTCCTTTGCTCTTTTTAAAGCATATTATGCATTCTGAAATGATACATTCACACGGTAAGCAAAGTGAAAATCATTCCTTTAAATTTCATGGAAAGGTAAGCTATTCATTTATTCATAGCGGCACACAGGTCTGCTTCCATGGGAGCTTCCCTGTGGGAATGTGCTATTTGCAGTGGGGTGAGTCTTTCAGCTTCCTGTATCATTAAATCTAAGCCCCGACCCTGTGACTTAATTCCACATGGGGTACCCTTGGGATTATCTAATTTTTGTTCTCACTTGCCCTGTGCCTCTTTCAGAGAGAATGTTAACATCATTTGAGTCCTGCTGGACTGGGAAGAACCAGGGTGTTGGTCTTGGTAACATTATTCTCTTAGCTTTTTCCTGAGCCCATGTCCTGGGGGTTGGGGCATGGAGAGGAAGAAGGTGCAAGAAAAGGGGCTTTTTTTTTTTTAGACATACAGCTGCTTGTTCTTTTACTTTTCATAAAGTTCATATAGCATAAACTATTTAAAGTGACCGATTTGCTGACACTTAGGACATTCGGAGTGCTGTTTGAGCGCCTACTACCTCTACTCCCAAAGCATGTTTACTACTTCCAAAGAAAAGTCACACTCATCAGTTAGTCCATTGCACTCACCCCTCTGAAAACCCCCGGTAGCCTACACCCATTCATTTCAGTTTTTTTTTGTAGGGGGTTGGGGGAGGTTGAGGCCTTTGCTGTCCTGGAACTTGATATGCAGACAGGCTGGACTTGAACTCAGAGATCCACTTGGTTCTGTCTCCCCAGTGCTGGGATTTAAGGTTTGTGCCACACAGCCAGCCCCTTCACTTACGTTTCTACGAATTTATCTATCTTACATAATTCATAGAAACAGAACCATAAATACACAACTTTTAGTGTCTGGCTTTTTCAGCAAAGCTTTCTAGACTCTTTAATATTTCATTTCTTTTACGCCTGAAAAAATATTCATTTGTATGTAAATAAATTTCATTTAGATGCTTTAAAAAATAACATATATCCTTGTTGATATTTTCATTTTTTCCTACCTTATTTCCTGTGAATGGATCATTCTTTCTTGTTTCTTTCTATGCTTTTTCTCCCTTTTTCTTTTTTGCTGTTGCTAAATACAGGGCTACATTTAATTTTCATGAGGAAGGTTTATTTTGGTTCAGTTTCAGGGGTTACAGTGGTGGGAAAGCCACGACAGCTAGACTGGCTGTACCCACAGCGCTGGAGTGTGAGGGGCTTGTTCAGACGCTGTGGACAGAGAGGGCAGCAGAACTAAACTGCTTCTCTGGAATACTGGAGTGTGATGACTCTGGCAATCATAGTCTTCCTTGCCCTAAAGGTCAACTGAGAGACACATATGCATGTTTAGCAGCTTCCAGCCTGATGTACTATGACTGTAGTCTTCTATGTGGTCACTATGGAGTCTCTAGAGTACCGTTATATTCATAGCCAATGACCCAGCAGAGTCCTTTGATGCCTGGAGCCCAGAAGAAAAGAAAAACAAAACAAAACAAAATTCTCCTGGCCTTTGGAGCTTGGCATTGAAGTGGGCACCCTTTTGGTGCTACGATAGCTCATATCTTTGCCTTTACCCCAGAGGGGTAGGCCTGGTCCCTGTCTAGTCTTTTCTTAGCAGGCATCAGTCCTGGGCATGCATGGTACACTGGTTTTCTTTGTGTATGCAGTGGCCCTTCCAAACATTATTTCTCCCCCTTCTTCCTCTTTCCAGTTTTTCTTTCTTTTGAGGGACTGGTTAGCCGCTATATGACTTCTCAGCAGTCCCTGCCCCTGCAGGCTTTGGGAGCCATGAAGTTGTACATCTCAGAAAGCTGCTACTGCCAGGGGTCTAAGTATGACAGACCAAGTGCTGCATGGCTCCCCTGCGGAACCATCAAAGCAGATCAGAATACACAGCACAGTATGGGAAAGATGTTTGTGTCTGTCCCCTAACTCCAGCTGCATCAAGAATGTGGGCTGCTAGCCTCAGGGCCACTGCCAGCATGGAGAAGAATTGACAATGTTTTCCTCTGAAATCCAGTGGCTCTCTCTCACCCAGCACTCCTCAGCTGCTGCAAGGATCTGATTTGATCCCAGGGTTCGGCATGGTTTATTCTGTCAAATTTGAAAGTTTGTGGTGGTTTCAGCAGAGAAACTGATCTTGGGGTGCCCTACTATGTCATTTTTTGTGACATCACAATGGTCTGTGAGTTTCATAAGCAATACATATAAGTTTGTCATGCAAAAGTTCTACTCCTAAAAACCTAACCATGAGAAATAAAGCACATCTGTATACAAACTTGTGTGTGAATGTTCATGGTAGTTATTCATTACAGACAATTTCAAATAATCTAATTTCCCTAAACTGGTGAGTGGCTAAACAGGTGTGGCTTATTAGTAGCCAGAGTTCCACTGATCAATAAAAAGAAACAAAGTACTCATGCCCAGTACAACATCGACAAACCCCAAACACAATTCCAAGTAAAAGAAGCTAGACACAAAGATCAATGACATTACTTCATGTAGATTGAATGTCCAGTAAAGGTCATCTACAGGTACAGAGGGACATAGAGGATTTGTTTTGCTCTTGTTACTGTGATTAGGGCTTTCTCAAATTTATCTCCTACTTTTCTTCTTTAGCTATATTTAACCTGCTATTTGACTAATCCCTAATTGTTTTTTGGTTTTGGTTTTTTGAGACAGGGTTTCTCTGTGTAGCCCTGGCTGTCCTGGAACTCAGAGATCCACCTGCCTCTGCCTCCCGAGTGCTGAGATCAAAGGCCTGTGCCACCATTACTAGGCTTAAATTTTTAAAAATTCAAATGACCTTTTAAAAATATACAGATGTCAATCTGTTTCTTTTTCTTTTTCTTTTTCTTTTTTTTTTTTTTGAGACAGGGTTTCTCTGTGTAGTTTTGGTGTCTGTCCCGGATCTTGCTCTGCAGATCAGGCTGGACTTGAACTCACAGAGATCTGCCTGGCTCTGCCTCCCGAGTGCTGGCACCACCACCGCCCGGCTGTTTCTATAACTTTTTAAAAACAAAATACCACTTTCTTTAAGAGTTTTTATTTATTATAGAACACTTTGACAACTTTTTATTTGTAATTTTATCCAGATTGTCCTATAATTTTCACTTAATAGATGCTTATTTTTTCAAATGATTAAAAAATTCTTTCATGTGTTCTCTAAACTGGTGCTGTTTCTTCCCCCTATGGAATTTTTGTTGAATTTGTGAAATTCATAAATGTAATTGACTTACAAATGAAAAAGCTAAAGGAAATCAAGTAAAAAGGAATTTAGTGAAATTAGTGAGTAAAGGCTGGAGAGATGGCGCAGTAGTTAAGAAAGAGCATAGGTTAGGCTGCCCAAGCACGGAGCCCTGAGTTTAGCTGTCAATTCCCACGGAACAAGGTGGGTATGGTCTCTTGAGTGCCTGTAACTCCACTGCCCTATGGGGCAGGGATGGGAAGCTCACTGGGGCTTGCTGCTGCCAGACTAACCAAACACCATGAGCTCTGGGCTCGGGAAGAGACCCTTACTTCGGCCACAGCATATCGCCCAGAGGTCCGAGTGCACACACTATCAGGGCTTTGTTCAGGAAAGCAGCATCACATGGATGGTAAACATCTGAATGGCACCTTCTAAAGAGGGTGGGACTGATGCGGGGATGGCAATGGTGAGGCAAGGATAGGTGCCTGAGACAGCCTGAAGTAGAGGCACCGACAGTGGTACGATCAGTGTCTGACCCGTGTCTGATCCGGCAGGAAGCCTCCGTAGGACTTGTGAGGAGGTCGAGGAGACAAACTTAAGAAAGCACCAGGTCCTAGCAGAGAGCTTGGTCACGGCTGAGTGCTCAGCATCGCTAATGTTCCTCTCCTGGAATCAAGAAGCTATTTTCAGCATGTAAACATTTAAAATTCACTTCTGTTATGAATTATAGACACCAATGGCATACCATCATAAGCAGATGATGGCACAGCTCCTGGAGCTCATGTGCTGGTGATTTCATAGTGCAAATATTGTTTGTTTCACTAAAGCCTGCTTGAAATTAGTTTAAATGCAAAACCAACTGTTACCTACCTATAACTAATGCTTTTAAACTACCCTCCAAATAACTGATTTTCAAAAACTGCTAAGAATGAAAGCGAACACTAATCTTTAAAGCTTGTATATAGCTGGGTGTGGTGGTGCATGCCTTTAATCTTAGCACTTGGGAGCCAGAGGCGGGTGATCTCTGCGTTCCATGGCAGCCAGAGTCATACAGAGACCATGTTTCAACAAAACAAAATACAAAAAAAAAAAAAAATGAAGACACCTGCATATAATTAAAGGACAATTCTCATGACATAGAGCTAAAAACTGTGGAAGGTTCTTGTGATCACGTACAGATACTGTTATAAATATGCCAGGTAAAGAAAAAATAATCAAGTCCTAACACTGACAGATTAATAGGGGTAAAGGTTGCTTTAGGCCACACAGTGAAGCACACTCCAACAATATAAAGATGGTCTCCTCAGGAAGTTTACTCAAGAAAGTTCTATTCAACAATAAGAACTTTCACCACAAAGGCTTTGCCATATGACCATCTACCTGGACAGCCTTTTGCTGAATTTACAGTAACTTCATTATACCCTCCCTATATTACTACCATTCAGCAATACCTGCATGACCTGTACTTGAACTTGACCCCACAGATCATAGTGTACAGGACCAGGGATGGAAGCCTGACCCAAGGAAAATCTTTTGGAGAAACCAGAAACTTCCTTGACCACCTATCTGGGACACTGTTTGTACTGAGGATACACAGGTGGGTCCTTTGGGTCACGTCTGCCAACACAATGATGGCTGTTCTGCAGAAGACAGCACTTTATGAAAGAGAATGAAGCAAAGTTACACAAAGTATAGAGATAAGGCAACACAAGACCCTAGAAAAAGAAAGTGGGACAGAATCTGCAGACAGAAAGGGCTCCCATTTCTATTCCCAGATCCTGGGGAGTTTCTGCAATTCTTCATGACATATAAGACAAGCACATTCTTATGATCAAAAACACTAATGACAGTCAATGTTGGAGAGAATGTGGAGCAAAGGGACATTCTTCAGTGCTTCTCAGCTATGACTCTTGTGTGCTTGGGTTTACTGGAAGAGTTTCTGCTATTTTTTAATAGGGAGACTTAATGATCACAGCCAATTCTATTAGCGACAATGAAGGGCATGGAATGGGAAAGGAAGACTTAATCTTTCTATAAAGTCTATGAGTAGACAGAATTAGCCTCCAAATGATTTGTTCTTTGACTCTGGTCTGTTTCTAGAGCCTTCAACAGTTTTATTTTGAGACGGGGTCTTACTATATAGCCTTGCTGAATTTCTTTTGGCTTTCTATATTTGCTATTTCTATTAATTTTCTGTTTTGTTCATAAAAACTTGATCTCTCTCACATCTTAATTATTTGAGCATCCTTCAGATAAAGTCGTTTTTCCAAGAAATCTGACATAATGTCTTTGAACTGAATATGTAGTTCAGGGCATGTTTATATTTATGTTCATAAAACTTGGGGAGTTTTTAGTTATTATGTCTTCAAATATTCATTCTGTCCCTTTTTCTTCCCTGTGACTTCTATGTTGCATGTTGGTATGCTTGATAGTATCCTACAGCCCCTTAATACTGTTTGCTAAAAATGTGCTAATAATGGAAATCAGAATTTCCCCCTTTCCCCAGGGTTAACTGTATTTTTAAAAAATGTTTTATTTTTCTTACTGTTGAAGGCTGTCTTTGCACCAAAGATCAGCCTGAAGTGCAAACTTAATGTCTTCTTGGATGTATTCAGAACTGGTGCCTTTTTTGGAACATGTACTGTCAATTTCTAGCTTTCCTTATATATTGGGATACTTAAATTATCATACAATGATTATACAGAATGTAAAGGACTTCATTATAACATTTCTACATATGTATAAGTGTACATTGGATCATATTTACCTCTTTTATCATTTATTTTTCTTACCCTTGCTTATCATTGCAGTTAGCTTTTCTTAGTGTTATTTGTGGATAATATGTTTTCTGTATGGTATGTATGTACATGTGCATACAGGTGAGCTTGTAGTTGTGTGTGCTTGTGGAAGTCAGAAGTCAACTACAGACGTCTGTTTCTATCATTCCCCACCTTATTTTTTTTGAGACAGGGTCTCTCACTGAACCTGGAGCTCACTATTTCAGCTAGACTGGCTGGTCAGTGAGCTCCAGAGGTCCACTTGTCTCCTCCCATCCCCAGTGCTGGGGTTACAGGTGTACACTGCTATTTTATTTGGTGCTGGGGATTTGAATTTATGTCCTCATCTTTGCATAGTAAGCTCTTGATCCACTGAAACATCTCCCTAGCCTCTACAGTTACTTGTTAATGACCTAGTCTTCAGTATTTGGCTCCCAAATAAAGAACAACAATAAAAAGGAGTGTATGAGTGGCTTCAGCAGAAAAAGAAAGGGCTTGCAAAAAATGAAGGGAGGGGCAATGTGCTGGATAGTTTTATGTCAATTTGACACAAGTCAAGAGTTATCAGAAAGGAGGGAACCTCAATTAAGAAAATGGCTCCTGGTGCTGTGGTGGTGCACGTCTTTAGTCCTGGCACTCAGGAGGCAGAGACAAGTGGATCTTTGAGTTTGAGCAGTTTGTAGACCAACCTGGTCTACAGAGCAAGTCCCAGTACAGAGGCTATACAGAGAAACCCTGTCTTGGGGAAAAAAATAAAATAAAAAACAAACATGAAAAGAAAATGCCTCCATAAGATCAGGCTGTGAACAGACAAGCCTGTAGGGTATTTTCTTAATTAATTAGTGATCAATTGGGGTGGGCTCAGCCCATTGTGGATGGTGTTTGTATAAGAAAGCAGCCCGAGCAAGCTATGGGGAGCAAGCCAGTAAGCAGCACCCCTCCATGGTCTCTGCATCAGCTCCTGCCTCCAGGTTCCTGAGTTCCTGTTCTGACTTCCTTCAGTGATGGACTACAATGCAGAAGTGTAAGTCAAATAAACCCTTTCCTCCCCAGCTTGCTTTCTGGTCATGGTGTTTTGTCACAGCAATAGAGACCCTGACTAAGACAGGCAACCACAATGGATCCTGACTCTGAACCTTTATGATAAGCAGCAGCAATTATCTTGAGGGAGTGGGTTGGGTGGGCTGAGTGGAAAGGCAGGTTGGAGGTGGGACGGAGGGGGACAGTAACAAAAGAGACATCTTCATGGGGGGGTTAGGGAGAAACCTGGTGCCAGGGAACCCCCCAGCAATCCACAAGGATAACCCCAGCTAAGACTCCTAGCAATAGTGGAGAGGGGGCCTGAACTGGCCATCTACTATATTCAGACTGATGACTACTCTAATTGTCATCAGAGATACTCTATCCAGTAACTGATGGAAGCAGATGCAGAGATCCACAGCCAAGCACTGGGCTGAGCTCTGGGAGTCTTGCTGAAGAAAGGGAGAAGGGATTGTATGAGCCAGGTGGGTCATGATGGGGGAACCCACAGAGACAGTTGACCTGAGCTTATGGGAGCTCATGAACTCTGGACCAACAGTTAGGGAGCCCCCATAAGACTGACGTAGGCCCTCTGCATGTGTGTGACAGTTGTGTAGCTTGGTCTCTTTGTAAGGCTCCTAGCAGTGAGATCAGGACCTGTCCCTGGCACTTAGCTGGCTTCTGGGAACCTGTTCCCCATGCTGGATTACCCCTTTCTGAATGGAGATGGAAGAGGAGTTGGGGGGGGGGGGAGACTCAGAGGAGAGGAGGAAGG